CACACATTCTCCAAAAAATACTATGGACGAATCTGCAGTGCTGGGAAGGGTGACGGACACACACATCAGGCGGGGGGGAGGGAGGTGTTTTTTCATTTTAATACTTCACGCAGCTGCCATGTCGATCCCACACTTATGTGAGAGTATGTCACGAAGGTGGGCATTTTTTCTGGCACAATAGCTCTATTCAAATGCTATTCATTACTATATTTTTATTTCAATAATGAGAGAACAAACATACCCTATATGAAAAAATTGACTGTATTTTAAACTGACAAATTGTAAAGTAACACAAGGGATTATGTAATGAATAGTAATGAACATGAACAGTGGTTATAAATTTAAAATTAAAAGTTCGGCTGATTTTATAAATTTATTCAAATGTAGGTTTCGTAATTGATTTGTTGTTTAATAAAAACACACGTTACACGAAATTGACTTGTGTGAAGTTCACGTAACCTCTTACATCCATATCGCATAAAACAAAAGTTGACAAAATTTGGTAGTATAATGTTATGTTGAGAGGAAATTCAATTCCGACTAACTATACTTTTTTAATCAAGTAATTGTAATTTAATTGAATAACTATTTTTCACTTTGATTTTTTTAAAATTAAATTAAATTTCAATTTCTCACGAAATTGCACAAAGTAATTCTATTAAAATCAAATTAAAATATAATTCTTTGATTGAATAAATTTAAAATACAATTATGACTCCAAAATAAAAATATTTTAGTACACGTTTGATTCCTATTTTTTTAAAAAAATTTATTTTAAATTACATATTTTTTAATGAAATAATTTTATACTTAAATGTTAAAAAAAAAAATCCTATTTAATTACGCATTCTTTAAAATATTCCTACCACAAAATTTATTTTTCAAAAAAATTGGAATGAAACATATATATCTCGAAAATGACATGTTTCTATACACGCAATCTCCACTNTTATATCACCAAGTTGCTCCATCCAAATTGAGTATTAGGACAGTCAACTGCTCCATCCAGGAATCGAACTGCCCACCCTGAGGTTGCAAGCCCAGCAGTGCCTTTGCCAACTTGGATGTGCCCCGGGGGTCAAGTTCTTTAAAATATTCCTACCACAAAATTTATTTTTCAAAAAAATTGGAATGAAACATATATATCTCGAAAATGACATGTTTCTATACACGCAATCTCCACTGAGAATGATCTTCATAATCACCTTCCCCACCGCCATAGCCACCCTCTTCGTCATTTCTTCCATCTTCAAACCCTCGAACACCCTTTAATTCCTCCTACACCGCTAAAAACCCTTCCGTTAATTTCACCTCTCCAAGAATGAGCTGGCTCTACAGGTTCAGATTTGGTGTGCGCAACTCCACTGACTCCCCCGTGGATTCCTCTTCCGATTCTTCTATAGCGCAGGGACCTGACGATGATGTACCCGCTCCGGGTCAGCAGTTCGCGCAATTCGCGGCCGGTTGCTTCTGGGGAGTTGAATTGGCCTTCCAGAGAGTGCCTGGTGTTACAAAGACTGAAGTAGGATACTCCCAGGGGTCCTTGCACAATCCCACGTACCAGGATGTTTGTTCTGGTACCACGAACCATTCGGAGGTGGTTCGTGTCCAGTATGACCCTGAGGAGTGTAGTTATGAGGCTCTGCTTGATGTTTTCTGGGCGAGACATGATCCTACAACTCCTAATCGCCAGGTGACTGTTGTTTCTTATGAGTTAATTGTCTTGAGTTTTTTATCAGATGATTATTGCTTTTGAAATTTGGAGTTTTCTTTTTCGATAGATATAGATGCAAACTGTGCCTTTTCACTATTTATTTTGCAGTGAACGGAGTCTTATTTTGCTGTCTGTCTCATAGAACAAAATAAATTTAGGGCAATGGAATTGAGGCCTTATAGTTTCTTCTTGAATTTGTGGACCCAATTCCATGTCTCCAAATGCAGTACTAGGGATTTTTGGTTAATTTCGTTTCATAGTAATATAATCAGATGAGGATGAGGTTGCCAGAGTGCTCAGGTGGACCCAAATTTCTTGTTCTCATGTCTGATAAGTGCGAAAAGTTTCGAATTCCAAGACATAAAGTTTTGTAGATGTTGTTATTATCTTAGATTTGGATGTTACTTGTGCGAGTAGTGGATATTTGGATAAAAGAAAACTCCATTAAAGTTAAGTTAGTAACTTATAAGTAATATTGATATTATTGCATTATGGTTATTTTAAAGCGGCAATTGCTGCTAATGGTGATGTTTTATAATTATTTTGTGTTTATTCTTGCACTTTTCATGACCTTGTGGAGTTAAAATTCAAAATCTGCATTTGCCTTAGTTGTTTGGCCATTTGATTATTCTTTTAGGGATAAGAAGACTCTACCCATAGCCCCTTTGGTTTTCTATATCGAAAAATTTTCGGTGAGATTACATAATTTCTCACAATTACAGTAATCTATTTTCAACAAACTCTTTCAATAGATTGTGTATCAGTGTACTCCTTTCATCCCATTTACATTTTACTGATAGACACGTGCATAGATGCTTCAACTCTTATCCTGCCATGATATGTCTGCAAACATTTGATTCTCTTCATTGTTGACAATCAGTCAAAATCCCACTAGATATGTGGCAAAAGCCTCGACAAAATTTCACTTGCCCTGCTTATAATTTTGTTTTGAATAATGTGCCGGATGTGACTGAAACTCTGAAATTCAGCATCTCTCTCAAAAATTTTCTTGCTACCCAACTTAATAATGAAAAGAGTGAGAACTAAGGGAAATTATGTGTGTTGCTTGGCGGGGTTAAATGACGAGAGAGTTGTGTTGCTTGACAGTGCATTTTGGAAACCACAAGTGGGAAAAAAGTGCCTTTTATCCTTTCTTTTAGGCTGTGCATACTAATGACTCCGTTATGCTCTCAATACAGGGGAATGATGTCGGAACCCAATATAGATCCGGAATTTACTACTACACACCTGAACAAGAAAAGGCAGCACTGGAGTCTATGGATAAACAGCAAGAGCTTTCGAATAGGAAGGTCGTAACTGAAATTCTCCCTGCCAAGAAATTTTACAGGGCCGAAGAGTATCATCAGCAATATCTTGAAAAGGGGGGACGATTTGGTTTCAAACAATCGGCAGACAAAGGTTGCAACGACTCTATTCGGTGCTATGGCTAAATTTTCGAATAGTATGCTGAATAATGTAAGTTACATATAAATGGCTGTCAATAGATAGCATTTGTAGTTCAACATTTGTGTATACTGTTGCATCTAATGTATATGAAAGTTCTTAAGATAGTTCACTCATGAGTGATATTAGTACTAAGAGCTAATTTTAGCTGGTTGCAGTTCTGGAAAAATTTTCGGGTTAAAACCAACAATAAAACAGCAAGCACGTTAGTCAAATTAATCAAATGTTAAGCACATTCATAGAAAATGTTAGTTTCTCTCTCTTTTCTTTTTAAGAGATAACTGCTTCAACATAACTAAATTTGTATGGACGGTGATTTTTATAAGAGACTAGAATCCTTGTAAGAGACTAGTAGGATTCGAGAGTAAATGGAAGAGATTGTTTTAGAAAATTTGGATTCAGGGCTCGGAAGGGACGTGAGTAAAATTACGAATATAATGTTTCCCCTTCGATTACACTCCCTTATGTGTCAAATATCTAGTCATGTATTTAAGAAGGTGGCGTTAAAATCAATGAACTAAGGACTCGTTTGATTGCAAGAGTGAAATTTGGATGGAAAGAAAATGAATTTTAAGGAATTGAATTGCCTAAAATTATTTTTCTGGAAATTGTCAATTAATTGTGTTTGATTAGTATAATTTTTCACGTGGAAAATATTGACATTTTGAATCTTTTGGTGTTCCTTTGGTTTTGTTTTACATGAAAATTGTCTATTAAATGGATATAATTTATTACAATTAGGGATATAATTTGTTTCAATTGTTAAAAAAAAGATGGAAAATCATTTTCCCACCAAAGTAGTGGAAAACCAATTCAATGAAAATCGAGAAATGGGGGTCACATGGGGGGTTGGGGAGAAAACTATTTGCCAGGAAAATTTTGTCTATCAAACAAGCAAAAAGTTGGAACTTGAAAAATAATTTACAAGTTCCATGGAAAATAGCGCATATCAAACAGGGCCTAGAATCTGTCAATTCACTTAGGTGTAAACCAATGTGTCAATTTTTACGTAAATGTAGCATGATTCTTTTTTCAATATTAGGCTTAAGTAACAATAAAAGGCCAATTTTCTAATTCTTCTCTATGCCATTTTAAATAATGAGGTATGAAATATTCAAAATTGAATGCAAAAGTGGAATTAGGTATGAAAAGGTTTTAGAGATGCAATCATGAATCAAACCACATCAATACATTCAGCTGTAAAATTGATAAAACTGAAACGCTTCAAGCTTCACTTATCAAATTTGACTTTCGAATATGACAGTAAAGCACTATCTAGCATTCCCATCATGATCATCGACCAAATTGACAAAATTATTGGTGATTGATCAAACAATATTATGGATTACTTGAAGTGCTAATTGATTTTGATGTGTGGGTCCATCTTCATTGATGTAGTAATGATCAAGATTTGAAGATGGTGTCAAGTGTAGAGGTAGAGGAGGAGAATGTTGCAGCATCTCTCTTTGAATATAACAGCAGTATGTATGGAATGTTTGGGGGGTAACATTTAATTGAAACCCTAATCCAAACAAGAAATCCACTTCAAGAAGGTTCATTTCTGCTCTGCTGATTCCTCCTACTTTGGCATAGTATGCATTGTTGTAAAATCTGCATTAAAAGTAAGATTATCAAATCAAAATACGATAGGATCGTTAGATCATTCGACATGTTTAGTAAGTTGGACTGAACATGATTGGAAAACATAAAGAAGTCGAGACATTTGTTGTTTTGTCTAGATTAGATTGCTTGATCTATATACTATGCTTTAATAGAGTCATTCGTCCAACTACGTTAGGGAAAAATAAAACTAAAGTGAACCCAAATTAGGTAAGTTAACAAAGTTAGATAAAAACGTCTTGGTTGAAATAACGTCATGAATCTAGTGACTAAATTGCAACGAAATGAAGTAATTGCTCACAAAATATCATACATAGCCAAGCTATAATTGATAGATTAGGATTACATATCGATAGTGGCAATTTCATATATTTTGATTTCTTGAAATAGAAGATATGGTGATATAAAGGAAAGGAAGAAATACAGTCATGGGCCGGCCACCCACCATCATCATGTACTTGTTATGACATTTTCTCCCTACTTCGTCAAACTCGAAAACAACATTTTGAACTATCGAAAAGCGAGAAATAAAAAGGATCGATGAAGAAAGATCTCTTCATCTATTCTTATAATATATATCTCATCTAAAACCGTATGCTTTGGACTTCTAACATTGTTCAACACGTACAAGGACACCAAATCTTAGGTGGCTTTTTTTAGTGGAACATAATGAATTTCACACAACTGGCTAAAAAAAATGAAGACTTTCACATGGTTTGGGCTGGCTTCAAAAACTCGTATTCATTGAATTTTCAAAGAACGAGAGATAAAAGAATTGTTCGAGAAAGATCACCTATTCTATCTGTATATGAATAAATCGAAGTTTACAATATCTGTTGACAATCACGTGTTGTCAAAATCCTAACATGTGATGTAGAAAACTTTTTTTCTAAAATGGATGAATCTGATGATGTCAAATAAGATGTTGTCAACTAATGTTGTCAATCAATGTTGTACATGTAGCATGATTCATCTGTACATTTGTATGTAATATTGCTTTGAATCTCTAACACTGTTCCACCAGACAAGGGACACCAAATATTAGGTGTCTTTGTCTAGTGGATCATAATGAGTTTCACACTATTAGATAAAATTATAATGAATTTCACATGTCTTCAAAATGTGTTTCCAAATGAATGACCTAAATTTATTCGAATTAATTGTTTTTATTTTTTAGTTTGACCACCTCATTTTACACAGATCAGAAATCTCTGGGGGGATTGACCGGTTTTGGAACAAGGGGACATAACTTAGTTTGGGGAAGTGGTGTGGAGCAAATTTTTCCCAAACATTGAATGTGAAACTCAAAAACATATAAAGACTTAAAAAATAATTTATCTTGAAAATAAAAAAATGAAAACCATTTTTTTTTTTTTTGTAACTATGAAACTCAGTCCCAACACTTGGAAAAAATTATAAATTAGAAGAA